TTTTTCAAGAGTAGGCTTAAAACTTTCCTTTTTGATGAAAACCTATAATAAGAGGTGGTTCCCTGAAAAATCCTTTTTTATGATGCTATAGGCCCTTCTTTTGTGGGACCTCCCACAGTGCACCTATCATCTAGGCTTTGCTCTCTTCTCGTTCAATGTAAATTAATTTGATTGACGACTATTGCAGGTCATTCACTTTGGATAGTTTTTGCATTGTCCCCTCTCTTTCCAGAGCCTGTGCGTCTGGTTCTGGAGCTGTGTGTTCCTGATCTTTTGTTTACTGGCACCACCAATCTGCTCAGTGTTTATTGTTTTTCAGCGCTCATCCTTTCTCTCTCCGCTCACCCGAAGTGGTGAAGACAGCCGGCCGCCCAGCCTGAATTTAGTTATGACTGAAGTTTCTTACTGCCCACTGTTTGCCAAGTGCTTGCTGGGTGGTGATGTGTTGGGTTTCTCTTTATAATACTGCATATAAATCTGCTGACCTTAATTTGTAAACTCTCCTCAGATTATACTTTTATGATTTGCCAAAGCACTGATAACAAAGAAAGTGAAATGACCATGAAAGATGGGAATATCTACACTCCTTCCCTGTGCCACGTAAACACAAGTCTGGAATTTTTAGATATTTCTCTGTAAATAAACCCCTACTTTACTTACTGATCTACTCTGCACAAGACATCGCTGTGCTGTGAAGACACAGCAGTCTCGGGTGACAACTCTCTAATCTAAACTGATTACAGTGGTGATGGCAGCATTCTCCACAGTGTGCCAGTTTCAGCACATCCCCCACGCACTTACGGCCTAACCTCCTTCCTCCCTCCCTCGCTTATCATCACAGCTGATTGCACTGCTGAAGTTCAAATGAACTGTTAACCCTGTCTTTACCAGGTCCATAAATAGAAAGCACAGAACTGAATCCAGGCAGTGATGAAACAGTGCGGCGATTTGCTTGCTGCTTCGCTGGAGAGACGGCTAATGTGTCCAAAGCCATCTCAATATTGGTTTAGCAAATTCACAGTGGTCCCAAAATCAAAATTCCTGGAATATACTGATTGGGTTATTCTGAAATGTGTTTGAATACAATAAAGATATAAGCCTGGGCCACTTATTGAGGAATTTTGCAGTAAGGTTTTGCTTATTTAGTGTTAAAATGTGAGCTAATCTTTAACAAAGGTCATGAACCCAGCATGAAGCATGAACCCATTACTTTCTGATTATCCTACACTGGGTTGCTCATTTGTTTCAGAACTGATAAAAAGATTTGATTGTCCGTTGGACTATTGAAGACTGGAAGATGGTATTAAGGACTGATGAATCAAAATGTGAAATCTTTGGGTCATCATGCAGGACCTTTGTATGCTGTCGGGTAGGAGAAAGGATGTGTGTTGCATCAACTGTCAAACATGGAGAATGACGTGTGATGGCCTGGGGCTGTTTTGCTGGATCCAGGGTCAGTCACTTGTACGAAGTGAGAGGCACCCTGAACCAAAACTGCTACCATATCATTTTGCAGCACCATGCAATGCCGTGTGGTATGCACCTAGTTGGTTATGGGTTCATCCCACAGCAAGATAATGACCCAAAACATAAGTCCAAGCTACAACACAACTACCTCAAGAAAAAAAGAACAAGATGGTCCTCACTAAGATAGCTGAACGGGTGTGTGCGTGTATACACACACATTATGAAAAACTACTATTTATATGGTATGTAACACAAGGTCAATGATTCTTTGGTGTCAGCTTAGTGCAACTAAATGAAAGAAAGAAAATAACAAAATAGCATACAGTAGAAAAATGAAATATGTTTAATGCAAACAGACCAAAGGCCAATATCTGATCTTATCAATTTTTGAACTTTTAGACACATCCCTATAAATTATCTCCAATAAATTATTAGCAACTGTTTCTGCTGGGAACAAGACTCTTTATTAAAAATAAAAATATCAAACTACATAACTCAACCCCCCCTCCAGGAATCTCTCGTTTGTTTTTTAAATTTAGTTCATTGACAGCAGATTAGTTCTTAAGTCTACATGTCCTTGCATAACATTCTGACACAGAAAACTGAAGCTGTGTTGCTTACACGTTTTCGCTGCAAATTCTGGTTTAGTGTTTGTTACAACACTGTACCACACAATTTTATACCAAAGCATATAAAACAGTAGCAGAAAATAAACAAAACAATGCTCCTGTGAAATTTCAGAGCAATAATGTGCTAATGAAATTATACGGCAGCCCACAAACCCGAGAGAAACAGTCATTTTCAGTGTGAGCTCCACTGCAGAATACTGCAAATCTATCTCCTGTTAAGACATCCAAATATGACAACAGGGCTGAGCAGTGAAATAACATGGGAAAACATTAAGGAGGGGGGGGCTAAGTGGAAGTCCAGCAGAAAAGCAGCAGAGTCACACAGTCCCATTTACCTGCCAGGAATTTTAATTTGGAGAGTAAAAATCAGTGCATCAAAAATAAAATGATAAACACAAAAGACTTTTTAGTTTATACATCGCTCATCCTGGCTTATATATGCATCTTGAATCACTGAAAGAAATATTAGTTGCACACTCCTGCATATAGTACTACAATGTGAGCTGAAAGACTACAAATACTTTAAACACTTGTAACACCTGAGAGATTACAAAAGAGATCAGTAGCGATCATGATGTGGTCTCTGATGGGAGACGTATCCCTGGTTGGAGCTTGGCCGCCCTGAATAAGACCCACTTCCATGTCCCCAGTGCCGGTCTCGGTCTCGCTCTCTGTCTCGGTTTCTGTCGTGCCAATGTTGCTGTCCACGATCATCTCGTCTCCAACCGTGGTCTCCTCCCCATCCACGTCCTCTGTGACCACGGTCATGGTACCTTGATGATGACATAAAATTAACAAACAACAGGCAGTGATTGATAGACATTAGCTTAAGTTGTCCTCATAAACTACTATGGTATTGTGAGTCGTGCTTACTGGGTTTCTCTAATCTCTCATCACAATTTAAAAATAGATTTCTCATTTACAAGAAGGTAAAAATACCAGGAAACTCCTCCAGAAACTTCTGTGTTAATGCTGGGATTTCAGTTTTATGAAGGCAGTTCACTTCTTACTGGGGTACATCGCCATGGCAACTTATTCTACCAACCTAACCTGCAGGCTATGCTCCAGATTAGATATTAACAGGTCCAAAATTACCACCTATGGATTAATCGGTTCTCTGGAAAATAGCGCCAACATTCCTGGAAGATCCCTCTGACCTCTGTGGGCAGACTGTATTGGGGCCAAGTTTTCTTAAGAGCATAACAAACACAGATTTTGAGATCTAGCCTTATTCCTTGATTTTTTTGTGTGTGCCATTTTCTACAAATATTGGAGAATTTCAATACACAATTATTAATGGGGTCACACAACACATTTATGAACCTTACATCAAATTTGCTCACAGACAAAGCTTGCATCTGAATTACAAACGAAACTAAAACCATCTTACAGACACTACATTAATTTCATTGCATAACAATTGTAATCCATCAGATGTATTCGTTACAGCAGATTTATAATTTACAGAGTCCTCATTTTCATCAGCATTCTTTCGTGGCTCCTGGAGGAGTTTAAACAGATATGCCCACACCTCCCTTTTTTTAGTCACCTCCTCTAGCCCTTGTGCTGCGACACCGAGGTGTTCCCAAGCCAGCTGAGAGACAAAGTCTTGAAATGACTAAAGAAATTATTTGTCCTGGGTTGGCCCTGGAAACTCCTCTGTAGGACATGCTCTAAACACCTCACCTAGGAGGGAAACTAGTCAGATGGTTGAATCACCACAACTGGCTCTTTTTGATATGTGTGAAAGTAGCGGCTTTATTCTGTGCACCACCTGAATGATCGAGCTTTCATCCTCTCTCTCAGGATGGAGGAAGTTCTTTTTCACCACTCCACAAATCACCACCTTATAACAGGGGAGGAGTTTGTGTGCTGTCTCAAGTAATTTGCTCCAAGTTGCAAACTGGTCCTGGGTGAAGGGCAGAATAAATGTGTCTGTGTTGGTTCACAGTCACACAGATCATTGGAGTCCTGTGTGGTTGGTTGGTTGGGGGGGCTTGCGACTGGGTAGATGCTGCCAGTGCCATGCCTTTCAAAATATATCAGCGGTATCTCGAACGTACTTCATAGTACACTGTCCAGATCAATGGTATAGTGGAATACTGATCTTTAAGGACAGTTTCACCCCTCTGACTATCTTGCTGTCATTTTTCAGTGGAAAACTGCCTTACTTAATGAGAAGTCTTTTGCATTCTTCTTTACTGGTTCAGAGCATCTAAACAGAATCTCTCATTCCTTATCCCAGCTACACGATGGTTAGGGGAATTCTCCTTAATATTTTCTAACGCTTATCACCTACATTACAGCGGTGTTTCTATCATTATCGCTTCTCTCAATCGTTAGCAGTTTCGCAATGACAAAATGAAATCAATAAGCAGCCCTACCGGTTATCTCTGCCCCTCTGGTTTCCTCCCCCACGACTCCTCCAGTCCTCCACGATGGGAGGGCGGTCTGCAGGACGGTTTAAGTACTCCTGGTACTCCTGATCCTCCGAGGAGAACCTGTGTGCGAACATCTCCTCGTAGTTCTGCTGGGTTTCCGCAGATTCGGTCATTCTGTGAGCACACAAATAATTGAAATACTTAATATCACAGAAAAGCTGCTATCGCGGCGTCGTGTTTGTATTCCCTCTTGGTCTTGCTAAACCGCGTGTTCCCAATAAGATAACTATTCTGGACAGTAATAGTAGTTATCCAACATATAAACAACGAAAAATAAAACTAGATTAAAAACAGTTACATCTCTGGCTTTGGAAAAAAATACCTTAATGTGACAAGTACGTCGTTAGCTTTAGCGACACTTTCCACTTCTGAAATTTCAGTGTCGTACGTCGCTGAAATCCTTCCCCCCCGGAACAAACCTCTACAAATTTTAACGGTTCTGGGAGCGCGCGCACCTGCCAGAGATTAATGAACGTTACCTGGCAGTTAGGGGATAGAAGAAAAAAGTCCAACAACCATCATGAAAAGATTCAAGACCTATTAATTGACACAATTACATGCTAATAAGTGGCGTAGCAAAGTTTGCTTTAACAGTTATTCCGCTTAATTTGGGAGAAAGGGCAAACTGGTGGAAGCCAGCACAGTGAATGGAAACATGTAAGTGCATCAGATTTTTATTTTTTATTTAAAAAACCGTCGGGTTTAACTGAAAATTATTATTATTTTTTTTGTTTATGACTAAAAAACTCCAGTCTGGCCTGAAAGTCCATCTAAAACCGCAGACGCCACCACAGATATGACAGGTTTAGGAAACAGTGGGTGGCTGAAAGGAGAAAGCAGGTGGAAGCCGCCCCGTGTCGCTGCTGCTGCCGTTGATATGAAACAGCCCGTTGTGGAGGAAGAAGCTCAGCGTAGAGCAGCGAAATACAAACATTAACTTAACTCACCAGCGCCGATTGTTTGAAGGCGGCGAGGGAGAAGCCACGCCAAGGTGGGATTCACACCCGCCCATGTGAACAGGAAAAACAAAGGAGGAGAGGAGGAAAAAACTTCCTGAATTGAACGGGCTTCTGTGAGACTGAGCTTGACAGCCCGGTGAGTCGAGTTTGCGAAGAACTGCTCTCTCTCTCCCCCATATCTCAGCTGTCTCTCAGCGGCAAGAGGACTTGTTCGGAGCTGGCACACGGGGTTATGAACTCTTTGGACCGCTAATCATCTACGGACTGCGCTTTTGAAACATTATTTTTCCTCTCAACCCAGCCAATACATAACCTTCAGATTAAAGAAAAAAATAAGGAGTTGTTCCTCAAGTCCGCGGCAATGGGGTGAGTAATCCAGAAAGCGCTGCCCTTCAGAGCGCCTCTCATGACACCTGCGCTGACTAAAAATGTGTTTGTGCGGCGAAAAGACGGCAAATATACCCCCAGAGCTGCCCGTTTCACCTGTCAGCCCTCAAATACATTTAATTCTAAATATCGCTGATTTCAAGCGCCAGGTTGTGAGAAGATCACCTCTGTTTTATTGCCAGATTGTGTTGCAATGTGGGGAAATTAATGAGGTGACTCTTGTTGGACTGTCAGTGAGACTATTCAGATGTGTGTATATATGTGTGTGTGCGGTGGGGGGTTGATGCCATATTTATAATTATGGATTTATGTTTTATTTATGAGCAGAATTTCAAAAGGATCATTCTTGAGTGCTCCGCTTCTTCCTTTTCTTCAGGATAGGAATATGGTTTGGAGAGGGTTATGATATGGAGGTGTCAGAGTCAACACTGCCCACTAATGAGGAGAGATGGTGGTACTTGTGGAAGTGTGTATTTGTACGTATGTGTGTTGTCCACAGTACTGGAAGTAGTGGCGTGTACTCCCACAGTAGTTTTACATGGTACCGTACAGTATTTTGCCTCTATACTGTGGTATGAATGTTGATTCTGTGGCTCACTGCCACAGTTATGCAATCACCATCTCTCCCTCTTTCTGCACATCTACATATATCCCTGTCTATGCTTTCCAAGCAGCTGGATTGTATTTAATTTCACACAAAAAAGGGAAAACTTTTCAGACTTAAACCTCATTCTAGATCACTTATTTATTCATTTATTTATTTTAGGAATTCTTCCACTTGTAACACACAAAACTTGGATTTATGGAAACTATGATGTGAGGCGTGAATCACTAGCTGCATAAATGCTCAATTATGTAATGAGTACCACCCCATACCAAAGTGATTGCTTTTCCTCAGTATTTTAATGCGTAAGAAACCAGTTCAACAGTCCTGACTTCCTTTCGCCAGTTTGGTGTACTCACCCAGCCGGTTTCAAAGGACTCAGCTGTGTTGTGTCATGAAACTGACCCATGCAGTGGATCTGTGACAAGCATGGCAGCCAGGCCAAAGCAGGAGTTCCCACCTACTCACAGGCACAAAAGTTCTCTTTTTCTTTTCTACTTTCACTCAGTGCTAAGCAGTGGTGTTACTTGTCAGCTAAATACCTTTTTAAGAAGGAGGGCACAAATGGCTTCTATGAAATTTTATCCCACAGGACTTCCTTGAAACTACATTGGCTGCCTTTGTCATTCCAATTAGTTTCGGGGTAATCAAATGTTGCTTGTATAAAAAAAAATAAAAAAATCTTAAAATTCCTTTTTGCAATACCTGAGCAGCAGTGAAAAATCAAAACTATGGAAGGCTGATAAATCCAATCTCCTACACTTCTGATTCAGTATTGTTGCTTTGATGCATTTGAATCAGCAGCTATTACAGCAGTGATTGAATCAGCATGTTGTGACTGTGTTAGATTGTCTGACCAGGAGTCCAAATCACAACTAATGAAATTTACTCTCATAGAAGGCAAACAAAATATTTAATAATAATAATAGTAATAGCGAATCAAATGTGAGAACTGAAACTGGAAACTTTCTCCTTAAGAAATAACTTAATGAATGTTGCTCATTACGCTGCAACTGAATGATGGAGATTACTGATGAATTCTTGTGTGTTTGTGTAAAACAAGACCCAAAAAACAATGCCTATCACATCTTAAACCTTGAAGTAACTGGACTAAATTAAAGAAAGGGGAGGGGAATTCTTTTGTTTGCCTTCCAATAATTAGCAGATGTGTTGCTAATTCTGCAGTGTATATATTACTACCTGAGCACACCTGCTAATGATGCAATGTGTTTTGCACGAAGCAGCAAATCAACAGATAAGAATGAGTCTGTGTTTGGTGGAGGGAGCTGTAGATCATTTGCCGTGTGTGTGTGTGTGTGTCTTTGTCCCTGAAGCTCCTGTCTCCTAAATGAAGTTATAGATTAACTATAAGTCAGACAACACACACATTAACACCCTCGATTTCTATCTTTACGTGTCCCTTTGTTACCATATTTCTTTGAGCAAATGATCTATCAGTACCCTCTTGACCCTGAGACACTTTTTGTTGTTCAGCCATTTCCACACGATTTATTGAGTATATACTGTTACATATTGGTCCAAATTGTAGCATTGTATGTGTGCATGTGTATGTGTACGTCATGTGCGGCATGTCCTAAAAAAGAATAAATCAAGCCTATGTAATTAAAGACTGGTGAATTGGAGAGGGGGAGGAAATTCAGACGGTAGCACTGGGAAAGAAAGCGATGAGAATTCTGTTTCTAAGTACAGTTTTGCAGCTTAAGGGCTGCATCTCTGGAATTATTCCAACATAAAGCCTAGATTGCCTGAAAGCCCCTACTGAATAGGCAGCCACACAGACAGCAATGCAATCAGCATATTGCTATTTAAAGTAAGCCATGCTGGGAGCAGGCCTAACACAAGGATAGATGATAATCTCCTGGCTGGCCAGAGAATGGCATATAAAGGTTTAACACTCATTGATTAGGCTCTGTGACATGTGACGTGACAGTGGGTCCTTTGGCTGCCCTGACAGGAGAGTGGACTGTAAGCTTAATCTGAGGCTATGTTCTCCATCTGTGTCCGAAGGCTGGAGGGGATGGCTGTAGAGGTGCAGTTGGGGAATAGGAGCAGGTCTTACTGTTAAAGAATCATGTGTAAATGAAAGGGGACAGGCTGATGGCGGATTGGACGTCTCATCACCAGATGGTTGAAGCCTAGGAGGCCATCTGCTGCCATGCTGTGCTTCTGTGGAGACTTCCTCACTTCCTTTTCCTTGGAGCGCTCACATTACGTTGGGCTCTGTGTCCTGCCGCCTCAGTGTGGTGGAGGGAGACCTGCTGTGGTGGCTTGTTTGATTCTGGCCTGCTGCCTGTGTTGCATGGGACACTCAGTGATGCCAGACCTGGCATTGATTATGAAGGTCATTGGTAAAATGAATAAAACAAAGTTTACCACAGTCATGCCTAAGACAGAATGTTTTCTACAAAATTAAAATATCCTGCATTAAAGCAATATGTAAAGATTATTTTACTATTTTTCCAGCTGTTTTTCCAATTTGCCAAAATGAGAAACAGCCCGATTACTAAATTTATAATGTTTCGGCCCTCAGAGCCTGATCATGATCTGTGGAAGGAGTGGGACAAAATATTAACAAGTGTTTTATCTTGAGATCATCAATCGTCAATAGCATGGAGCCAATTATAGATACTTCTATTGAATATGTAAGTGGACTAAACTGATTTCCCTGACAAAGGTGGACTGTGTATTAAAGCAAGAGAGCTACCGTAATTAACTGATTTTAATGCTAGTAAACAAACCAAGTAGCATAACAGCAGCATTTACTCCTCTTCAGTTGCACAAATGTCTTGATGTATGTTTGGATAATTGCCTCGCGACGCATCAAACGTTGTATGCCTAATTGTGGATACCGTATTGCAGTACTGAGTTACAATAGGCACGGGAGTTAAATAGTATCTCTCATGCATATCAAATTTTTACTATAGCTTTATAGAGATTGGAAATTCTGGTAATATGGGAATTTTTTTTTTAGTAAAATAGAAATGCTTGTAATTAGTCAGTTTATGAGCAGTAGTGTTGAATTTGGGCTTATTTTGCTCTTCCCTCCTAATGGTTGTTTCTTCCTGCACTGGATAGTGTAGTGCAGAAGAGATGCCATAAAATAACCTTTAACAGTGACTTAATGCGAGTGGTTTTAAGCTGAGACATCGTGCTCCTGTTTTGTAAATGTCAGGAGAAAGAAAATGAAAGCATAATATAGAGCTGTAGTTCTCTGCTAACTAGACCTTGAAGTCTGTTATTGCATACAGTATATATATATACAGTGGCCTCCTTTGACCTGTTGACATCATTAGTTGAGCAAAGTGTTTGTTGCAGGGAAAGCCCAGGTGGTTTAGTAGTAATGAACCCAGAGAGAATTTCCTCCGCTGCTTACTTTGCTCATTCAATCAGACAACACGCCGTTCTCGCTAATAAGGCGGCGCCGCTCTCCATCAGGACCCGCAGATAAAATATAACACCATGCCTCAGCGGTGCTCACCTAACATGCAAAAAAAGGATAATGAGAATCCAAGTTGATGATTTCTAGTGTTTTATGCTTAGCAAATTAATACACTCATTTCTAATTTTCCATATTCATGTTGCCACATTTGAACAGTACACCTTGTGACACAGTTTTTTTTTTCATATGGGAAAAGATGTCCTTTTGTTATTGTGCTACACTCTAAAGCCTCTTGTAATGTGGAGTG